TGATCAAGGCAGATTGACCTCTTCAGCGGATAAAAATACCGTGGAAAGTTTGTTACATCAAGGGTCCCACAGTAAAATTTCTTACGTTGTGGAAATCTCACGGTGATCCGTGTACACAACTGCACCCCTGCTTCCTACTCTGCACCCGAACAATACAGTGATGCTGTCATCTCGACTAGTGCTGAAACGCCTGAAATGGGCCAACTCACTGAAGGAACCAATAAGCAGCTCCACAGTTTTGATATTTCCTTGACCATGTTGCTGAGACAAAAACTAACGACTGTGTCAGGCGTGTGAGTGACGCCTATGTCAGTTGCCATGACAACGATCGATCGCTTCTTGGTGGGGTATCCACACTACTGACCCGAATTGGATTAAAATTTTTTTGCACCATAGGAGAAAACGCAGGAAGCGGAATGGCCCTGGGTGTAATGGAGACATTTGCGTGAAAACATAAAACAGCAAAAAACGTATGGGCCCCCCACTGTGACTCAGGTCCCATTCGCACGACCAAGGAGAATAAACTTAGCATCGCTTCAACGGACTTCTGTATGATTTCACATTCAGCTGACGGGATGAGTGCTGCCGGCTTGTTGGTTCACCTGAGGAAGCAGACGCGAACACACACCGCGCCCATCATACGTTCCGGCGTTGGTACATAGCCCGATAATTGGTATTCGCTTGTCTACGTTAGGTGGACCCAAACTTCATAGATTTTGTGGAATAGAAACGGATTTCACCGGAGACCTTGGTGTACAAATATTTCCCGCTGCAACCAAGAGCGCACAGACGACCAAATGAAGATCAGGTTTCTGTAAAAGCGAAAATTATCGCAGCGCTGATTGTGCAGTCAGGCCACTGAACTATTTGTTGTGGTGCGTGAACGGCATTCGCTAAATATCCCTCAGAATTAGGTCATGAGAAGGAGGGAGGATGATTTCATCGTCTCCTTCCGCAAGCATGTGCACACATGGAGCTTGACGCTCCTGGAATTCACAAGTGTTCTGGAGAGCCGCTACACACCATTTAGGCAAGATACACTGAAGACGCATTTTTCTAAATACCACATGGATCTACTGTGTTTCAAGCCCGACACATGACACGTACTGCAGGACTGTGTTCGCATCAGCCTGTCCCTCAAATAATCCAATATATTCATGAGGATGGAATACCACTTGGGCAGAATTCTCCATAAGATTGTATTTTCATGAGATAGTTATTGGAACAAACCATCTGTGGTTTGTTCATCTCAGGTTGTCGCTTCAGGGTGGGTCCTTGCACTTCCACGCAATAGCACATGGTGTTCCTCATGTATCACGACTGGAACTAAATCTCGACCGAGTGGTTTTAGCCAACACGTGCGCAGTTGGTCGTGAAGAGGCACTGGGAGTAATAAGTGATTTTCTGCTATGGAGAAACTGTATGAACCGCCACCAATGTGGACAGCAGACCGCAGTTCGGGCCAGGTCTTCGAACTAAAAAGCCTAGGTGTATCTCTCAAATCAAACTTCATCATCAACACGTAGCTACGTGTCGTACCAAGAATGAATAAGCCAAATCAACTTACCTCAGTTTGAGGCATCTTTCAAACTAATCACCAGACATGGTTGCCAAAACAAAGTGGGTTACCACTAAGTATTTTACTCGACGTTTACAAGCTCTTCCAAAAGGAGCTCATATCACATGCCAGATTCACGGATTTTTCAAATCTCTTTATCAAAATACGAAAAATGACGAATAGGTGTTTGGGCCATAGCTTTCGCTTAGGAAATCAGAATCATATCACCATTTTGATCTTTGTAATTCGACAAAAAAACAACGACACTGAATCACACAACGAATTAATGAGCGTGCTAATGCATGCATAGAAAGCAATGGAATATGCTAAAAGGCTTTTCGATCAACAAACGACTGATGACACGTGACAGATTTATTTAAGGCTGTCCGCGTGCCGTGACGGAAAGAAATGATTTTCCATTGTGCAGCTAATTAACACACGTTGTCCAAAAGCACACCTTTCTGCCTACCATCACTGTAGATCATGTGAATCAATAGTCCCAATCACTTGTTCTGCTGCGTTTGGGGACAATAAAGACTGTCAATCATAGATTTCATAGCATAGTTGAAAACACAGGAACAAAGGTTTTCGAGATTCCAACACCACAGTACATCTAAGCTCAGTGTCTGGTCAACTGATCCAAGTAATCTACACCCATGTAACCACCTACAACCGATCGACGTAAAATCATAACATTTCTACTGGCGGATCAATATTGATCGTTTTTACCGATCAATCATGTACGGTAAAAGTAGGGGTATGTTTGGGGATAGATTGATCAGGCAGGTTGATGCACCCGCATAGTCATAAGCTAGTGAAAATGGGGCACTGTTAGTACCTCACCGATTACAACAAGTCCCTTCCCCGGAATGTCCACGGCATGCGTTCGCAGGCCAATCTCTGCACTACTGTCTATCTTTTGAGAGACAGGCGCCATCCTCCCAGGGATTGTAGAATGTCGTCCCTTAGGAAACGACATAACCCCTTAAACTAGCCACGAGCCGAATGTCATAGAAGCAAACAATTGAAACCTATCCCAAACATACTGGGTACTGTTTAGCAAGTACGAGTTTAGCAAGGATATAGAGTCCACCTCGGGCACACTATCTTTGCTGGACTGTATTACATCTAACAATGACGGAAAATAAAAGAAACGGATGTCTACTAGAAACCAACAGACACGTTCTAAATTACTAATCAAAATGTCCACAGTCCTTGTACGTTAGTGTTGTCTCGAAAGTTTAGTCGAGTCAAGGCGCTATGCACAGAAGAGGTCGACTAAATATCAGCTCAAATCGAGGTTACCGGTAGAATTCAAGAAATAGGATACTCAGTGTGAGTTTGGTTAAGCGGGAATGAAGAAGAATTGTCTTTTGTATGAGGAACTAGCGACCAACATCCAACACCGATTTAGTCTGACTTGGCTGACTGGTTCACCTTCTGTCTTAAATTTCGATCAACTTCTTAACATGGTCACTTGGCCTGACAAAGCTCTCGTGTCGTAAGCGAAATGTTGCCTAGCGATAAATCTACCGATTGTTTCCCAAAACTTTCCAAAAACCAGTCCTTCAGATTTGTTCCAACGAACGCCTAGACGAATCTACTGGAAATTATACGTTATTATTTGAGTGAACTGGAATGTTTTTTTCTATTGTTGGTAAGCAGTCACCAAGGTGGTGAAGTGAAGGCTCCCTCAACATGGGACCCCCATAAAAGAATAGAGAGAAATCCGTCAGTTGAAGTGTCCCGTCATCTGGGGTTACATGACTTCAACTATCCAATGACACTTACCCAAGTCCCACTTGAAATGTGTAGGCGAAATGAAGATGGAAACGGAGGTGATGATTTTTCAAGCGGTCGATATCAAGGTTGCAGTAAATCTGTAGCATGTTCAAGGCAAATTCATGTCATGCGTCCGTGTTCGTTTGAAGTGAATAATGGCTTGAAAAATTGTCGAAATGTCTGGAGAACTTGCACCACTCATCAGCTAACGAAGTGGGTTGTGGAATAAAAAAATGGACTCATTTCACCCATTTTTATGCAGCATTGCGTGAGATTTTTTGCGGATTCAGTCGTTCTTTCCGATGGATACTCTATTAGTTTCTCTACATTGCAAATTACTACAGATTCTACAACGTGATATCAGCCATGAGATAACTGTGAAATCGTTGTATATCATACCACCAAAGCCTACTTAAGCAGAAGTGCACCAAATATTGCGACTTCCCTGATACAGAAAGGAAAGGATCATTTGTAGGTATCCTAACTTGCACTCACATATTCACTTCAAAGTTTTATAAACATTTTTGTATCTGCCTTATCGACTGAAGATTGAAATGTATTATCCAAAATTGACGAATCTATTATCTAGGTTTGAGGAAGTTTACATCGAAAGGATAAACCAGCCTCTTTTCAGGTTTGCTTTCTCATAAACTTCTGGGTCATCGTGTTGGTTGGTTGTTGAATTGGGTGTAATGGCATTTCCTCCGAGAAATTGCGCCATTGTTCCTTACTTCATCGAATGCTTACAAATCTCCCGACTTAAATGCGGTGCGGATGCTCTGATACGTGGGTCTTCAAACGCGCTGCTGGTATTTAAGGTAAAAAACGTCTCCGAAGTGCAGCACGTGGTTTGGTCTTGACAAGGAAGCAGCTATGCCACCGCCTCAAAGTTCGGGCTAAAAGAAACATTCGAGGCCATAGTCTGAAAGTTAGATCTTGTTTGGTAACACTAGTAAGTATGCACACAGATACAGTTGGTGTATTTCGGTTCAGCTAACAAGCGGTGGCGAAAACAAGCACTGATATGACCAACGGACAATACCGGTATGCAGTGACCGATGTTTACGCGATGATCCATCTTCATGGGGTGTAGTCACAGTACGGTGCTCTTTCCTCATCTAAGGAGCTCCTTGTCCGTACGAGAGAGATAGATAAGATCGTTGACTGTCGTTTGAACAACCAGAGCTCGAACTCAACAAATGACTATCTTCATACTGGGTGCCAGACTCTGTCGTGACGATCTGCACAAGTGTTTTATTAGATGTAATAAGAATCTTTCTCCTAATGTTTGGTGATAACGATTTATTGCTTTTGACGAGGAGCTCATATAAAACCGCATATCTCAGGAAGGGAACTACATCTATTGACGCGATGACATTGGTTTGTTTTATGACGTTTCATTGTCGCCATGTTTGAACCGGACTATAATTGTGATAATCAGTACCCTTACCAAGACGGTCCAAGTTGTTTAATGTGGAAGTAAAATCTACCGAAAGAGACAACCTTTTGGCGAATATTCATAGATGACTTGGATGAGTGAACCGATTTTATATTTCAGCTAAACTGTTAGGATGACATCTAAGCAGTTTGAGAACAAGCTTGGGAAAACATTGGCCTCATGGACGTCCTAAGTGAATCAGAAATTGCATGTAGGTATTCAATGGTAAGGATGATTCCAGGGGTTTGTAGCAATTTCAACGCTAAAGCAAGCACGGAGAGTGTTTTTCATCCGTCGGTGATTCTTCGAAGCTTCTACGAGTCTCACAACGGCGGTAGCTATGTTGCCTTATCATATCACATTAAAACGAACAGATTTTTTTCCACCTTCAAGCACGTACCAATGAAATGTACCTACTTCCACTTACAGGTAAAGAGAAGAATCCGTTAACGCGGGAATGTCGATGTCTTTCAAGTAACCCGAATCTCAAATACACTTCTACAACGCATTGCTTTTGAGTTCTTCACTTTCATGTTTCGTTTTTCGTCTTCAATCGGTTGAATTATTATTATTATTATTCTTAATCGACAATTCCACCATAGAGCGAGGAATACTACGTTGTCAGTCGATCCGAGCTTTCTACAAATGCCAATCAGAGAGTGAAAACTGTTCACTTGGCTAGGCTCTTTTTTCTGTTTCACGGGATTAGATTTCGTGTTCTTTGTCCGATTCAACGAATTGCGCCTATTTCTTACGAGAATCCGAACGGCAAAAACGCGCTGGACACGAAGGGGGTCTGATCTAAATTACCGGTTTGCTGTTTGCGAACGACCACCGACTGGGATGTAACTGCAGACTCGTTAACACAGAATCAGTTGATGGGAAGTGACGTAAACGTGGTCTAGCTGTGCTGCGTCGATGAACGCAGAGTGACTTACACAGGTAACAACCAGGTTTGCGTTACGCGGACAGAACTGCACTGGCCAAAATAACTCAGTGCAAACGGAACAGCCGATATGGAAACAAAAGTCTGATGTTGTTGGCCCGGCGATTTGCAGATGCACCTGGACTTCAGACATGATTGGAACTTTAAGACGAGATCCGTATCATGCGGATTAAATAGACCTGTAGAGGCAGACACAAGCACACGTAGCAAATGTTCTGAATCCCGACCAATTGGCTTTCTGTACCGTTTTTATAGACTGTCGCGGTTTACGTGTGTGGCTGCCTTGGTGAGCTGTTTGTTTCATAATCTGATTGTGTTGGATGGCGTTCGTTTTCGGTTACTCGTATCATTTTACTGTGTTAGTGTACACCAAGGACAAGGACACTGTAGCGGGTGATTGTATCTTGGGTGCAACTGAACTGGTAGACTCCACTGTATGTAGACAGACTGTGAGAAATGGATACAGTCATAGAAGGCAGTGTTGGTGGCTAGAACCCAGTATGACATCGAACTGAATATGGCTCAGAATGCCACGTGATGGTAGTCTGTGTACGGGTTTTTGTTCCGAACATCGATTACACCAATCGTAACAAATCTGCTGCCTCGGCCAAAGCAACATGTTCATTATTTTCGCTGGAATTGTGCTAAAAGACTATCCAAATCAACATACACGCTCACACTCTCTAGGAGGAAGCTTTCCAGAGTCAACCTGGCCCCAGAGACGAATAGAGTGCACAACCGTTCAATTCATTGTGCAATAACCGTCGTATTGCAACTGTATTCATCGCTAGGGCTAGTGATATACAGAGAGTGACGCATTAAGAGCGGAGTACCAGCAGTGTTCTGCTTGGATTACATACGGCGAAACCTGTTCAAAGTTTTGTATCTCAGGACCAGTTTGTCCGGCATAGAGCTGTGCTGTGTCACTGGGGATTAGGAGAGAAACTCTGTTGGGTCAGTGTACAAGCATGTGGTCCCCTCAACAGAACCTGTTCATCGTGACTTCTGCATATCAAATTATCAGTAGCTAAAGCCATTTCAGTCACCTGCTTTAACAGAGCTGTAGTGGCTGAGTTCACAATCAACTTTGGTTTGCGAAGTGCAGTGAAAACCTATCGGATGGCGGAAATGATGGAAAAATGCTTCTAAACAGAGGAATACTGGGTTGAATTACAACATACGTATGCCTAAGATGTTGTGCACATATGCCGGAATATGGAAACTACGGATTTTCACATTCTCTTAGACAACGATTGAAGTGGCAACTATCATTGGGTAGATCCATTTACACCTACTTAGAAAAAAGGACTGTCCCAAACAACTGGAGAAAATCGGTAATAACTTTCGGCTTGAAAAAAGGGCCTGCACCGATCACGTAATGATACTCTTGGCTTCAATTGCCCGTCGACTTGTGGTGGCCCGTGAAGCACTGATTCGAGAGCGGTATTGAGACCTCATACCCAGTCAAGTGGCACAACGACATAAGTGATCATAGTCGTGGCATTTCTTGATTTCTAGGGAGTATTTGACTTTATCGATTATTCTGATCTCCTTGAAATTCCAGTTCAGCGAGGAGCTCCAGGGATTCTTGTCAGTGTCATAGGTTTTTCGTATTCTCAGGCTTGTTGGAGTTCTCCAGAAGCTCCCACACAAAACGTGGTGACCTACAAGGACATCTCTGTTCCTATTCAATTTTGTGATCGATGAAATAATGAGACTAATATAGACCTTCAAAACCCCGTCGTCCGAACGGTTACTAATGGAAACCTTGTACACCAGGAACATGTAAACGATAAGGAGGTACAGGTGTTTCTGGATAAACTGCCCGAAGTCCTGTTTTGGTACGCGCTTCGCACTCACGAAGCGTAAGGTCCTGCTGTTGAACATACAGTCACTGAACACGCCACTGTGTAATGTTTCGCGTATCTTGGAAGTTGTATAAGTTCTGACTGTGTGACACATATGGCGACAAAGCGACAAGTTCCTGAGTCTTAATGGACGTCCGTATTAGGCTACAGTACGGGCTCTTTTTTGTCCTGAGATGTGGTTTCTGCAAGCAGCGGAACTAATAAGTCTTCAAGTCTCCAAAAGACTTGCTTCAAAAGCATAGTTAGTTCAGGCTGGAGCTAGCGAGTCTACAATGAAACAGTTAGAAATTACGTTCGGCTATGTAATCGAGGAATGTGTTGTCCATTCCAAACCACTGTTTGATGGGGAGATTACTGTTTTTTTGTGACCTGGCGCAAGCAGACTCGTCGACCTTTGACCTGGCAGAAAGGTACGAAGGCGACAAGTCTGGGCACTGTCCGTGCGACCCATTAATCAGGATGGGGTCCGCATGAGCACCGTGTACTTAAGGATATAGATGGCAATCGAAGTCAGTGATATTGTTTCCAACCCGATTGGCTGAATGAGTGTCTGAAGGTGTAGTCGCCTCAGAATGCTTGTAATAGTCAAGCACTAAGTTCCCTCCTCGTCCAATCTTAATCTACTGCTGGTTTCCTGATAAAGATGAAACAGCTGTACAGCGCCTCTGGGCTTTTCAGCAAGACGAAATCCCTACTGATGCCTACGTCACGGTTCTTCGAGCAACCTAAACAGCATTTGCTAACGTACTATTCGAATGACGGCCACACTGCACCACCAACCGACTATGCCCCGATGGATTGAGTCGTATCGGAAAGTTGAAGCGGGGGAACAAGTGGGACATCCTGATTTCTGCAAGAGTCAAACTCAATCTTGATAATAAACGAAAATAGCGACATCTGCCGATGGAGTGGAGTGCTTCATTGGTGACTCCGACCGGCAAGAAGGGCATGAGAACGTCATGCAAAAGCCACGTTAGCGGCAGCTTGTTAACCGTGGAATCCAAGGTATTCTGTGGCGGTATGGGTTGATCGACTGTCTGCCCTGGTCGGCATAGGAAAAAATTCCGCTGTCATGGGGTGCGCACTGTTGATCAAGTTCGTACTAGCAGATCGCAGAGGAGCCCCAACAGTGCGCATCTCACGAAACTCAAGGGAGTCTGGAACCCGTGGCCTCCCGGCTAGTATAGTTTAAACACTAGCTGTTCGGTCATGAGCGGAGATTCGGCATTCAGCACAGATGTACTATCGATCATAACGATAAAGCATAGGCACCTCGAACTCCATACTTGCCGGTACGTCTCCAACGACGGTCAGTCTTGTTTACGAGTATACATCGGTGATAACCATCGATAACGTCGATGACTCTCAAGTTGTTGGGTGACCAAAAATCTACTGAAGATGGGTACGTGTGTATCTAGCTGTTTTCCATCTCTTCCGCTGGTATATTGCGATCATGGAAGCACCACCAAATCAACGTGGACAGGTGTAAACCAAGCTATGCGTTAGGATTCGGTTAGCTTAACGTGACCGCTACATATTTGTAAGAACTAGTTGAACAGAGACGGAAAAAAATAGTTCGCTTACGTGGTTCTTCCTAGATAACGTAGGGAATTTTTTAGCCTTGTCAATCAACAATAGTAACAGCACTGGGAGTTAACTAGCGTAGTAATTTTGGAAAATGTGGAGTTCCCATATTGTTTACACGTGCAACACATTCGCATTGAGCAGGTTATGACCTTGGTGAGTGCTGGATCACTCAGAAGCGAGCTACTGGATATGCTAAATCGCATGAGTCAAAATGAAGACCACGGGAAACAACGTAAGAAACGTCACGCATCACTATCGTACGTTTTTGTTGCTGTAACTGGGAGTTAGAGCCTCAGACAGCATGAAGAAAACCAACGTGTTCGTAGTGTTCCTGTGTTTACAGCTTGCAGTGGAAATGACGAACAAATTTAAACCCACTCATACATTTCCAGTAAGCACTCAAAGCGGCAGAGAAAACTGGGACTTTTAGATTCACAAATCCACATGCCGAACTGGTGCCGTTGCAACGTCTGTACTCGGGTCCAGCTGACGGTTTTCCTGTTCCTCTCTACCGATCAACGTGTAATAATCTCTTCAGAGCATTGACTAAGTGTTCGGGGCGATGTCTGGAAAAACCAGTAATCTGCAGTCTTGCTGGGCTTCAATTCAGTCAACGTAAGAGCCGTTGCCCCGAGACGACCAACCAAGCAAGCTCTGACCTCAAAGCAAATGCACTTGGGGAGGACGACAAACGACTGCTTGGAATGGATGAAATTAGCGCGCATAGATAGAAACCTGTCTACTGGTATATTAATATGACTTAAGATTTATCAAACAGGAACTATTCAGTCCGTCAGCTATATGTACCGAACAGAGTTTGGTTCGGCTGCCGCAGTTCGCTTCAGTGAAAGAGAATGACGGTCATACGCAGGAAGTAGTATTCAATCTGAAATCGCTGTGCCTTGCCTATGGAGCTAAACACTGAAGTCGATATCCTTATTGCAAAGCGTCATTAGGCTTTTTAATGTCACTAACCATTGATGTGTCCCGGAAGAGAGTAGCTACAAACATCGGAGAGGAGTTAGAGTCTCAGGCTGATGACATTTAGGTTGTTTTATGGAAAAGATCTGCAACGTTAACAATCTGACATACACATTACCTGGCCTGCCAGACAAGGGTAGTGTTTTGTTGACAATGGTGGCCAAAGTTGACCATGATCGGAAACCATCTAGAGGACTGCCTACTACAATTTATCTAGGTGCCGCAGCTGACTTTCAGCTTCTGTGTGGATGGGCACGGCACAGTGGGATTTCTCTACTGAGTAAGTTACGAAGTAATGATTAGTACACCTTAGTGTTCAATCAACGGCAGTCACCATAAATCGACCGGGGATGCACTTTTACATGGATACACTAGGGGCTAACCATAAAGAAATGAAGCAAACGAAAACATTATATATATAGGTATGTATAGGTAATTTACAAGAGACCAGCGCGTCTGAAGAGGGGAGGGCGAAGACAACAATGTCAATAGTTGAACAGATCGAGGAAAATCGGAAGCGATAACTAGGAAACAAAAGGAGAGCTGACAAAACGGTAGAATGGTTAAGGAAGAAAAAGAACAAACTATGTAACGACCCAGGGATGGCGAAATTAGAATCTAAAGAAAGAGGCGAGAAGAGTATGGGCTCGTGAAATGACAACCAGGAGTAGAAAAGACAGGATGCTTGTTGGAAACCGTGGCAACGGTGGAAGGGTCTGGCCGAACAACGCAATGAGCTAAGAGGAAAAACAAAACTAAGGTAGTGATATACATTAATTACAATGGGCACTGAAAGGCAGAGGCTGAATTCAAAGTTGGCGAATGATAGTTATTTGCGGGAAGGTGTTTGGCAGCGATGTATACAATGTCGAATGGTGATACCAACGGGCTGGGGAAGTCTACACAAGGAAAAGGCATTAATGAAAACAGCGCATCAAATGATGGCCATGGTTCGCAAGAACGGGAGAATGAGAAATATGTTCAACGAAAAATAGCTGTGAAGGTGGTTAGAGTGTACATTATTTTACAGTAAAGCGAGATCACTACTGCTGTGGACCGAAGACGATGACGACAACAAGTTATTTGGAGTCACCCGCACAACGGTTAGAGACGGAGAAGAGCGTGTGATCTGCGCGTATGCATTCCGAAGCGGGAAGGCCGAGATGAAAGTCAATAATTTGTACAAACCAAAACGGTCTCTGTAAGTCTAGAATTGTTCAACTGTATTGATGTACGATGGCAAACGGCATGAAGAGATGGAGTCGTTGATGAGAGACGGCGGTTTCATGGCATACACAACAAATGAGACGTAACAGAAGCATCGGATCGAAAGCAACGCATATTTGTAAGTGGAGCAGGGACTATACACTAATGCGAGGATCGGGCGAATCCGGGGATGAACTGAACGGGAATAAATCAGTGAATAACATAACTCGAGTGTATAAACTCAGTTGAATGAATATTTGGCATCCTATACAAGCAGACGAAAACAATCATGTCATAATGGCCAGAAACCACTGGAATAGGAGACGACGTCGATGGATTTTGTTGGTAAAGTTGTGCTGGACTCGTTGTAAGAGAAACAGCACAGATAAATCCCTCACACACGCATATCATCAACCAAAAGTCAGGAAAATTAGAGTGTTCAATCACAATCTAAGGTGCGGCTGTATGAAGGAAGAGTAACAGATAAGTATGGACACTGAATAACACATTTTTGGTATTGTTCGTACGGTCCAGTAAGATATTTTTGTGAGAGTTAAACCGGAACTCCGCCTAAACCATCAGTGACTGGCGATTTGGTTGAGACCCCATTTTTGGCTCCATTACCGTTGGCACAGTTCGATGCCGTATCGCCCGGCACCGATGAGTTGCTGTTGTTGGTATTCGGTGCAGACATGTTGCCTTTCGAAAGCGATGTCGAAGATGATGTTGAGGAAGGAGGTGATGATGTACTACTGCAATTACTGATATTGGTATTGGTGCCATTATTATTATTGTTGTTGGTACTTTTATACTTTTCTAATTTGGCTATAATGTGTTTGCCATAATTGAACTTCCGCAAGAGATTCTGAATCGGCTGGATTCGGCTAATGAGTGAACGCCGTTGATCCATCTCGGCAAGTTCGAGCATACGTTGCACAACGTAGTTTGCATACTGATCTTTCATCATATCGATCAGAGAAGAATTGCTGCTAGACGGGGTCGTGACTGATTCCCCGCTCAGGTTCAGACAAGTGGGCGGATGAAGAATCTCATCAATCAGAATAGCACGTTCACTGGGCTGTGCGTTTGCAATAGCCTTCTCCATGACATTTGAGGCGAATTTGTGTGCGCTGAGGGTCGAAACACGACCTCGAAGACTCTGAATGATCCGTGATTTATCCACCGGTAGGCCATGTTCAAGGACGTGCTGAAGTGAGAAAACAGACGGGTGCCAGCCATTCAAGCATGAACCTTCATGGTTTGAGTCAAAGCAGTGCGTATAAAAGCGAAAACAAAGGTGGTGTGTGCGTCCGTTATGCGGATGTCGTAAAACTGTCAATTCACTAAGAACTAGTCCAATGAATGTGATTGGATCAAATCGTCCCATCGATCGGATCAACGACGATCTGAGGGCACGGTGTGGTTGGACTATGACGAATGATTTGTATACATGCCACATTTATACACAAGACGTCTGTAAGTACAAACACACAAACGCATGTAAAGTTGACGACGCTAGAAGACCATAGTAAACCAAGAGTCTAGATTGCATATCTACCTACTTGCCAGATGACAAAACGTCAACAAGACTGGTCAATGCAATTCTATGAAATTTACGGTCGTCGAGCAACACTGATGACACTGGCTGCCACGACAACGCTCCATACAGACGTAGGTGTCCTTTCCGAAAGTCAGATGGGCTGGGTGGGCCCAGGAAGCCGGAGAGAGGATTTCAAGCATCTTCAGAGAACTTCCCGTTTCTTGGGCAAGCACCCCTAAGGTGATTACTGAGGCGTCCAGGTATCGATTTGCTGAAGGAACAAGACAGCACGGATAGAAATACCGTCCGTCTAATGAGGCCATATGAGCGGCCATGAGATTCACTAGGTTTGTGTTGTACAGTGTGCTAAGCTTATCTGGTATACTAGGTCCCACTGAATTACAAGCAATTCCCCAGTGCGGTCGAATTTTCCGGTGTTTTATACAGACATCGTGCAGAGAGACTAGTGTAAGGAGCATGGTGAACATACACAGATGTAATACACGACCCACAAACGAGATTCTTCTGAGTTCCACGTGAGTTTGCAGCGAAGCCAAATAGGTTTGCGAATGAGTGTATTTCGCCATAGTGAGCAAGCTTTTCAACCCATTACTGAAGATAAACTTATTGAGTTCGATGCAACACTGGTAGCTTAGCTAAATGGAAGGGGGAGGCTCGCGGTCTGACCCACCGGATGTTTTATTAGTTCTGCATGGGTGTATACGGTCGGCTAATACATCGTTTTTCCCTTCGGGATTCACGACAGTTGTTCACAGGAAACTACGGTCAACCGATATTAACGGATATGGAGTTGTCCGATTTAGTTGATGGATTCTGATTACCCACCGGATTGAACAGTGGCCCCCCAGCAAAAAACTTTCTCCCCAAGAGTCATTCACTGAGCAGCAAGGGGGGACGTAGATGGCGTGAGCCAACCATTGTGGGGATGAGTGTCAGTCGCTATCATCGTTGTTGACAGCAACACTGAATTCAGAGACCGCTGGCTCTTTAGTCCGTGATGAGCGGAACCCGTACACAACGAATACTAGGCCTCTGTTCTGGTACCGACAGTTCAGACTCAGAATACGGATGGTTAGAACAGTGTGTCAATTCAATTCTGTTTTAGCGCCATTTTGTAGGAGCTAAATGAACCATTATGACGAACTGAAGAAACGAAGGTTTTCACAAAACCCCGCATGTGCATCATGCCATGACGATACGCTTGAAATCGAAAATTACTGGGTTGGAAACCTCTAACAATACACTTTATGATGAAATCATGGATTCTATTTGAGAATGTCAACTGATGAGTTGACTCAGTAACAGATCAGATATGAACACCAGTCAAAATACCTGGGACAATGAGAGACCGTGGTTGACAACTCGTTAAAAAAACTCAGTTTAGCAAACAGAGGAGCCTACCTGAATCACATAATTCCCATACTGGTCCTTGACCAAATGATCCACCCCTTCATGAAGTTCCTCCAAAATTGGTCGGGTCTGTTCTGCTAGACAATGCTCCAATATACGCTGAATCACTCGGCATCCATAGGGATGGGAAGAAAGCGAAACGACCTAGGGACAAGGCAGCATGATGGACAAACTGTGAGCCTGAGGTTAACAAATACGGAGCTGAGATTTGGAGACAGTTTAGTAGCGAAGAACACATAAATTCAACGATCCAAATGAACAAATAAAGTCAACAGTCACCGAAAATGTTCCCGGAATGATGAGAGAAGTGTGAAGAACTATCGCGTGCTTGGACCCTAACCGACACGAACCAGAAACACAAGGTTAGGCCGGTTAGACAGGAAATCAGTGACGCTGTCCGACCCAGGCCCTGCTACCGAAGGGACCAACTGAAAATGGGGCTCAACACAGTTAGGCACAAAAAAACTTTTGGTCTACGACTACAGTCTATGCTGATGTTAATCTCAACGGTGATGATGGTCAGTTGGTTTATTGTAAACGAGTAGAACGTCAAAACAAGAAAACTGTCCAGCTCCGACACCAATTACAGTGCACATTCGGCAACCAACTCGAAAGAAAGCACGGGGGCTGACAGACTGCCAGTGCCCAACACCTAGTTGCCGAGACGCAAACTACGAATATGAACCGTAACATTCTTAGACAATAGTTCACGCCTCAACCCCTCAGCTATTGGAGGGTCAGCGATTAAGCAAGACCAAACTGCTAAGAACTTGGGGTCTGAGATGAACGAACTACAAGTTTTTGGGAGGCCACAAAATGAAAAAAAAACATGCGAAAGACACCATTAAGTAAAAAAGACAAAGTCAGAGTTTTACCGTTTTTACATCCGGTCCCTTGTGAGAAAGTTTGTGAACGGAAAGTGTAAACTCATTTGAGAAACCTGATTTCCTATCGTCGTCTCCAAAAACTGTTTCTGGGGGGGGGGAAGAGTGACTTACTTGGCCGCGAAAGGCAGCAATGATAAAGTCCAATTCTGAAGGCTGAACGCATTCGATGCACTTCTGGATCACATGGTTTCCGTTCTGGTCTTTCACGCAACGAGTGACATACGGACGCAGCTCGCTTACTATTCGTATTTTGGTGTCAGGAGGTACAGATTCCAGCGCCTTCTGTATGACACGGCAACCATACATTTGTGTCGCGAACTCAACCACATGACCTTGAAGGCGTTGAGACAGTAGCTAAAGTGCGAAAAAACGAGGGCGAAATTTGAGGCAAAATCCGCAACGCGAGGGTAGCGATCGTATAGGACATTCGAGGGAGCATAGTTATTAGAGTATCGAAGGAAATGATGAATCTCGTCGAAAAGTTTCCGAGAAGCCCGGGTTGACAGTCTTATCACACAGTCTATAACCATGACTAAGTTATTAGAGTATCGAAGGAAATGATGAATCTCGTCGAAAAGTTTCCGAGAAGCCCGGGTTGACAGTCTTATCACACAGTCTATAACCATGACTAATCGGTCAGTGGGGCTGCTCGGGGGCGTATTGGGGACAAACAATAGAGGGTTTGTGATTAACCGACTTGTGATGGCTTATCGTTTACAGCCGACATCCAGCCATGGTACCAAGTGAATGCTGGGATGTAGCGGCAACCTTAAGATCGTTTCCGAGATCCAAAAATATTGTGTGGAATCCTTACCAAACTAGCTTATTTTTCCCGGTTATTCCGGCTTTCGATCAACATTTGGCATGGAGATCGAAACGATGTGACGGCCGCTGATGTGTTCACTGTCAGACTTTAGTCGATTACGTACACAGTAAGCCCCTTATCCTAATATGCAACGCTCCTACTGGAGGAAAAGATCCTAGTAAATCTGAAAGGGCCTAACACAGTATATTCCTGACCGACAAAAAAACTTACAGAAGGCAATAAAAATAGTTTTTAGGAGTTTATGAGCTCCCAATATGAAGTGCTTTTTAGTAATCGCTGGAAAAGTAACACTTGTTACTATTTTTAATAATTCCCCCGCCTCATGTACAATGGCCCAGAAGAGCGGAGCGCGAACGTGCTGCTCATAGGCTGTCATTAACAAATCTGCTTATGTCAGCATACAGAGAGGAACAAACAAGGGATGCTCATCACGTAAGTTCCGCGGGCGACTACTGATTTCGTCAGTATGGCATGAACGACGAAAGCATGCTCAGTTTGACAAGTAAAAAAACACAGAGGGTGGCTCGTGCGGCTCACTGAATGGGTTCTTCCTTTGATTAAAAGGTAACTTCATTGTCTGGTTTCGGTATCGTCATACATGAGGACTTGGTTATCCGTCAGGACACCGCATGTCAATGTGTATGAGTTCAGTGCAACCGGTTTAGCTGGCTCGAAGGGTTTCATCGTCCAGGGAACACTGGGATTTGAAGTTCATAATACGAATGGAAGTTAAGTTACCGGGAGGGCAACAGTTTAGTCTTAGAAACAGCCAAATGGGACCAATGAACCGATTTCAGACTACTAAAAGCGGTTTTCAAGAACAGCGTTTCTTATTTCAGTTACGACAACTAACAGCTAGGATAGACCTACATCATAGCCAGTGTGCAAAACTCGGATGGAACGATGAATGACAGTTGGATGCGACAGGATGAAGACGACCATCTATGCTGAGAGATAGAAATCAAAAAATAGGTGGAACCTTGTGTCTACACCCAACCAATCGTGAGATGGGCCAAGTGGTTAGAGCGCAAATTTACTGACCGGAAAGTCCGTGGTTCGAACCCGACCTCTGACTCTCGACTTCCCCTGTCTAGGCTTGGGCAACCTGGCAGTATCCCAGCCGTCGTGTGGCACGGCAGTTAGGCACCGAAAGCGTGCTACAGCTAGACAACCCGCTCTTCAACAAGATAACCAACTCATGGTTCACCACGACTGGCTGGATGCATTGCGATACCCCCGACCTAATTCTGTACACAACCTGCTGAAGACTCGAAACAAATTTGATGACTGGAATAAGAGCAATATATTCAACGAAAAGTCACCCCATCCCCTTTCGGATCAATTTTCGATGCTGAGATGCTGTCCAATCTGTCCCCCCCCCCTTAGAAGGGCATAGGCTTTGTGCTAATCAAATCTTTCATCATCCTTCAAAACATAGTATTGAACTGTAGTTAGTCTCCTAACTGTCTACAAAACTGTTGAATCACAACAGGACGGCAACTTCAGCTATCCTTATTGAAGTAGGATGGGGTGGTATTCAATCTTGGTTGTTTGCTATGCGCCGGGAACTAAGAGTACCATACTCACTTCTTTCTGTTCTTTTGTACCGAATTCGAAAAATTTTTGAATCACGTAGTTGCCAAACACATCGGTCATCAGTTTGCCTGAATGCGGAAGAATTTCAGCAAACACAGCATTCTTCTCTGCCGTACTAGCCGTTTCCAGTTTCTGTTGGATAAAACGTGATCCGTGCTGGTCACGAGCGAACTCGACCATATGATCACGTAACTGAGAGAGCGTGACCTGCTGGAAACGCCCGTTGGAGTTACGGAATTCCTCGAGCAGCGCACTTCGGTTCGCGGGTGCACTACTAATCGCTGTTGGACAGGTTGAGATGCCTGTCAGAAAGGGGAGAGAATGGAGAGAACTAATAAAAACGAGTGGACATCTTTGCTGGAGGCAGACGGTTTGCTGGTGAGTAAACCATACGTTGATAAAGATCGCCGTTGGTCAGCATGAGAACGATAGATCGAACGGTGATACCAACACGTGCGAGATTAATGTATTGAATACCACATAAAAAATATAATTCCAACCAACCATATTTTAAAACTAATGGTCAAAGCACTACGTAGCTCCCAAAGATAAGTGAGTTGCCCAGGGAACGTTAATATGGAGTCAAAATGTCGATCTGCTCGCCATCATCGGATCGGAAAGATAGCAAACGAGCTTCAGCAAGCCGCTTCCGGAATCGAGTGGGACTTTTAATGAAGGCAAGTTACGGCATGAAAGATTGTGACAAAAAGCGTCCTTATGAGCCAGAACTCACAGGATAATGAACAAACAGGCAAAGGAGAGTCGAGATTTAAAAAAACGAAACACCATGACAAACGATAATTTGAAACACGAGCTTGTCGTGCTTTCTTCACGTGACTGGCTTAAATCACTCGCAGGATCAAAGATGAGGCAACCAGGTACCATAATTAGGAACAAGTAGTTGTGCAATAAACAGCACATCGGTGCTCCACTCGGGAGTGACTCCCCTCGGAGGAATTTCAGTGAAGAAATAGAAGCCACAGATTGACATCCCCATGCTTCCGCAGCACTTTACTGTGTCAAAGAGAAAGGAAATTCATTTTACCCCCTATGGCACCAAACAAGGAGACGATATTGTTTCTTTACTGAAGTAGAGATCCCGAGTGGAACGATTTTGAAAAAGGGACGGTCCAGAACAGTGCATCGAAAGGAATACACGGAGAGGCTGAGCGCTATCAAGAAAGCAAGAAGGGAAATTCTTTACGAAAACAACCTGGAGTGAGGAGACCTCATCGAGTTCGACAGTAAGTGAACCCAGTGGTTTGTGCAACACTCAGTTTTCTCTTAAAAATGGACTGTACTCGGGGCCTCAAGTCAGCCAAGGCCATACCGCGGTCAGGCGTCAGAACTGACGGGGCTTTGACATAAAAGTGAAAAACAAGTGCTTTAAAAACAGTGTTACTGTCGGCGACGATGTAAGTCCAAAATCAGGAACAATCGCGATTTTGATGTTTCTGGCTCAGAACACCAGGTTAAGAAATGGCAATGAACAGTTAGGGAACCTGGAGCAATGCTCTAGTTGGGAAGCCAGTGAGTACAAGTCAATGCCCTCCCTAAACAGCTCTAGCTCGCACAATCTCGGTTCTAATAGTGATGACGTGATGGGCCACGATGGGAACAGGCTAGCAGAAGAAAGCAAGAGTAAGTTCGATGCACTGCATGTACTAGCCGTATTATACCGTACATTTGTTCGGAGACCGAAAGCGCGAAAGGAGAGGAAAAGGAAAACAAAACAAAACCGAGGCTGATCAAAACGTTCTTGCAGTCAGAAACCCCGTCTCCAGAGAAGCCACCATAAGTCAGGAGTGAATGTATACCTGAGACCGAATTCAGCCGATAAGACGACCTGGCAAAGCGGACTACAGCCTGCGGTAAGAGATGTCGGGCCAAGCTCGCAACAGCCAACGAATGTGAACCCTGGTAGGACAGAGACGAGAGCAAACCGAGTGAGTCGATTTGGACGACTACCCACACCATCGATCTGCAGGGAATGAATCGTTGTACCTACGAAGCCTGTACGACCAGTGCCAGCCCCACAAGAGCAAGATGTCGCGGTGGGGGTGATGAGAGCTGAAGCAAACACGCTATTCTCCTGCTGTACAGAAGCTGCTGCTCAGGAAAGGCAGGCAAAGAAGTCCGAGATTACACTGAATGGTCAGACTGGAAGATTGATCCGATCGTCAAAGAATGGGCATCAGTCGCAGCTGAAAAGGTAACAGTGATACAACGCAAACTGCGGAAAAAAACATTCACAGAACTGGTATCGATCAATGCATAGATGGTTAAGCGGATCAACAGCACTATGCGCACACATACAAGCACGCCAAATGTAGTACCACCACGAACTAGACGCACACATAGTTGGTTGGACGACGTATCGATCTAAAACACGCGGAGCGATGGAAACAGATACAGGCGTCAGAGTTTTCTGAACAAAGACGCACACAAACACTCAACGAACAAAAAAGACTGAAATGAAGGCGATGATCAAAACCGAAACCAGTGCTGTTCAGGATCAAACGAATGAAAGAATAAAACGAAGATTATCAAATATGTGCAGAAATTACAGCCTCAGGCAATGAAGACGCCACGAAAACACCGACAGTCATGAGGTCGAATTTATTGAATAGAGGCATCAAGTACTCATTGGAAGTGATTCGCCGAAGCTGACACTGTCGACGAAAGTTAACAAATCGGTAAGTGTGCTGGTTCCAATTACACTGCTGTTCATCAACAGGCTTAGCACGACCGTCACTTCGTGACAGAAGAGGTCATGTACGTGATTATTGGCAGCATCAGCAGCACCCTTAACTAACGGTCGTTGGTCATTACGGTACGATTAAATTTATCAAGTTTCAGCTTCTAATGGGACAGAGGACTGCGACCGACATGTGTTCCAAGGTCGTGCTGCGGGATATGCACGGTAGACATCGGAAATTGTGGAACAATATACGCATATCGCAACTTGCATTGGCAATGACGTTAGTTTGACGGGCACACTGAAAACATGAACCGCGTTTGCCAGTTTCCACCACTTGTGACATTTAAAGGCGTAATCTTGGGTCGTAAAGGACGCATATCAAAACATAGTGCGGGTGGCGTTGCTGTGGAGCTACGAGAACTGGTCACTACGGGTGAGGATTCTGTGCAACTCCCGAGTCTTTGAGAAACGCATTCTCAGAACAGCAGCTAAATCGGCCAGTCGGCGATATTTGTAATGAGTTGGCTAAGAAACAGGTATGTGCTGAAATGGCAATGATCGTTAAAGGTTCACATGGCTGGGCAACGTGTAACGCATGCCAGGTTACTGTTTGCCAAGAAAAGCGTTGTTTTGCATGCCTAATTCAAAGTGTCAGAAACCTAGAGGTGAAGAGAATGTGACGTGGCAGAATGAAACGGCGGGTGTTATGAAGAGTCTGGGTGTTGTTAGTTTTGTACGCTTCCTAGGATGGGCTCCATGTGCTTGGCTGAATAAACTGAAACATGTGGAAGGCAACGACGTCACTGACGCCCATTGTTAGTTTCTATTCTGATTGCATGATAGCGTTGGATGTGTAGGCACCTCAAATATTTGCAGTGGACCGCCCATAGATCCCAGCCCAAGTACCACTTTTCTTCTTTCCACTACAAGGCTTCATTGAAATAAACTGACATGCTTTTACGGTATTGAAGCACCAGTTTTCTTCGCCGGTGTTGCTTTTAATGGCGATGTTAAGTATAAGAAGCGGAGTCTGAGGAAAGCCATCGGGATTCGCATAGGTGGGCATGGGCGGGTGCGTCTGAGTTACTCTAGAGTTCCCATTATCCGCAATCCGAAGATGTAGAAATTGACAACAACAATGCTCCTGCAATTGCATGTCTTTCACACAGATTCAGGAGAGTCAGACAAACAAAGCACTAGATGCCTACCAAGTGGTAACTGATACAGGCCCTACGCAGGATGATCGCGTTGGTATCCAAGAAATGATGCGCTGTTCAGGTTGTTTTGCAGCTACGCACTGAGGAAGCACATTATCCGAACGGTAGGAGGCATGCCATTTGTCGACATCGCGCCTAAAATCAAACCAAGGAACTCCTGAGGACTCGCAAGGTATGGTGTTTCACCAAACTTTGACCTATACTCAATGAGGAGCTGGCGGACAACAATCTCTGCTTTAATAGAGCTGATGTTGATAAGGCGACACATGCGAAAAATAAAGCCGGTGAAAAAATGTATCTTGTACGCACGGCAATTGGTTGTTCGATCATGTGATGCTTATGCTAAGTTACAGTCCACCAAGTGAGGTGGACTTCCGAGCCCAATACAGAATGGCTAAAGCATACCTTGGGCGAAAGGATGTGAAAATGAGAACCAAAGGTGTGTAACATCAGTGCGGCCTTAATGCGAGTATAAGATCCGCCTGAGAAAATGAAGGACGCAAAAGCTAATCGTGCCTCTTGTATTCAACTTGTATTTTTCATCTTTGTGAAGGAACTTCTGTATAACTGTAGTCGATTAATATTGGGTTGCTCTCTATTTCCTTTCAAAATAATGACGGCAGTGAGGCGTTGGTTCCAGAAAGTGGAATTGCTGTGGTATATATATATATATATATATATATACCACAGCAATTCCACTATCACTGATAATGCTGCGATACAAAACAGATTGGCAGAAATGCCAGGAACGTCCAAACAAACTAGGCTGATAACCGAAATACAGGCTCCATATAGTGATAGTTTTACTTAGTCTTGATGACCTTAATTTCAGAGATATGAGATCCTCAGGTGACCTTCAAGGCGTCGTCCAAAGGAGCTTTATCCATATGCACAGGAGAAAACATTAGTTCATCTAGAGGTGTCGGCATAAACATGCACGCCTGTCGAGTAGAACTACGAGAGGATAAGTGGAAACTGCAATTAACCCCACCAACATGATCCAGCGTGAGGATACGTGTTTAAGAAAACGACAAATCAGGCTTATTTAGTCTTCGGTTACGCCACAGTTATTCATTAAAGAATAAGTGCTTTTGGTTGCACAACAAGGATTCATAACGTTCACAGAGTGAAGCTTATGAGTGAGGCTCTGTGACATGGAATTTCGGTATAACCCACCGTCAAAATTGAAAGGATAAGTTGGAGGACAGGAGAATCCTGTTGGTGGAGGCAACCCTGGTGGCCTTGGTAGTCCGGGTGGTGGTGTGGGGACAACTTCCGTCGGTCTTCCAAGCGGTGGCGGCTGGGAGACAGATAAATGACCGATACCTGTGGAACTGCCAACATTTGGTGTCCCAGATGGTTCCGGATGAAGAACATTCATTGTTGGGATCAAATTCATTGTCTGCAAGCAATCAAGACAACATTATAGGGATTACAAAACAGGGTGGTAAAGAACAGCCAACATCAAGACTACATCAGGTCAGAAACGTACGTTGTGAATAGCAAATGTATTTGGATTCATACTCGGTGCGCTGAGCTGGTTCGCATAGACACTGGTCAAACAACCAATGGAATTGACCGATCCCACCGGCAGACCTGGCGGTGCAGCACTAGCCGAACCCGGGACACACATAGGGACAATTGGGTTGCCGGTTAACGTCGTTGACGGAATTGGAGGAAATGTGGGCATGAGTGATGGCTGCTGGTGCTGAATTTGCTGTTGCTGCTGCTGTTGTTGTTGTTGCTGCTGTAGCTGAGTTGCAGCGAGCATTTGTTGTTGGGCCTGTAGCAGCGCTAGGGCATTAGCTGTAAAACGTGATGGATCCAAGATAGGAGGGTTGCTTGGTTGATGCAGTTGAGGCTGCGGAGTTGCATGTGCAATGACGCTTGCATTTGCGGCATCAGAGACAGCCGAACCGGAGCTGGCAGCCATACCACTGGCCAATTGTTGCATGAACATACTAAACGTCAAGGGGTTCCATAGGGGTGCTAGATGGAAAGAAGCACGGCAATTAACGGTCGAGAAGGACCACGTACAGTGACTTCCGCTACACCGCAAGACATATGGAACAGACGTCAAAGCGAAAAGGGATGACAGCCACTTCTAACAAGCAGGAATTATATGGACAGCTGGCTTACTTCCGATGCTAACTTATTCTTGAAGCTTCAAAACAAAACAGCGTCTATCACACTGACGACTGCTTTTCCGCCTGCAGTCATGGAGGACAGACAAGTTCCACCACGAAACATTCCGAAAGGATTTTACTTCGAACCCGCCCACAATATGCTTCCTTATTGAACAGAACAGGCGAGGAAAAAGTTACACACACGTCAAAGCAGCTACAGCAAGCAGCATCATCACCGACAGCAATACACCAGTAGAAAATATCGGTTGTTAACTACCGTATAACCATTAGAATGTCCTAGTAGGCAGTGGAAAGGGGAAAGGCGAAGACTTAGCACAAACAGACAAGAACATCCAAAACAACCAAGAACAAGGTACATACACCTTGCAATATTAAAGTGAAAAAGGCAACTGAACAGTAAATCGAAAAAAAGACACTACCAGTGGTATTGATCCGTCTCTCACGAACCTCAATCACCATGAGCCTACCATACAACGAAAAAATCTGGATCTGTAGTCCGATCAGGAAGTGACAACACAATCGCGAATGAGACCAGTCGCTTGCCAAGACCAGCAGATATTTTAATCACGCGGACCTCTAAAATGAGACCAGTTGCGTGCAGCAGATATTTTAATCACGCGGACCTCTAACATGAGGTGGGAAGATTAAACAGCACTCGGCCTAATGGTATTCATCCACATTTCGCATTGCCAAATCATAATGTCCCCTGCGGACCTTTCACCAACAAAAGGTAGTAATGTGGTGTGTATAAACCAACCTGATGCGTTTTATTCAAAAATAAAAAAATGGTTCGGCTGTAACACCCTTTCCGGTGCCCAGGTGCCATGCCACACGAAGGAAGCACGAGGGCTGGGATGCTGTCAGGTTGCCCATGCCTAGACAGGCGAAGTCGAGAGGCAGAGGTCGGGTTCGAACCCCGGACCTTCCGGTCAGTAATTTCGCTTTCCAACCACTGAGCCATCTCGGTCCATGAGTTTTATTTGCTGCTCTAGTGATTCTGACTGACTACCCGCTTGTGCATCACTTCATGGTGGACACACTGCAGCCAGCTAGAGCCTGAATCATTGGGAAGGTGCTGATGACCAAGCGTTCGAATTCATCGATAGTCCTCGGAGGGGAAGGGCCAAGTTTCGACACCACAGGTCTGCTTCTACAGTCGCACTGTACACAATGCCCTTGAGCTTCAGTGAGATTCATTTTCAGAGCAACGAACCGTGCAAGTTCGCAAATGTTGCTGGCGCTCTGAAAACATGTGAACTATACAATAATTGGAGTGCTGTAGGTGCAAAAGGTATACAGGAATTAGGGGGTGACATTTGAAATTCCACCTAGAGAAGACTGTGTGGAATGATGGCGGTCAAACAACACGATAATATCATCCACATAGTCCAAGTCACTCCCCAGGTGTAACTAGATGAGTGCAGTGCGAAGTCACGAACCTACGTCGAACCTCCTGATGGTTTTGAAGGGATCTGAAACGCCAGGCGAAAAAAGATTGCATGTTCGGGTTTCAGCGTCCAACAAGACCGCATCTCATGTCACCAATGGGTCATACGGACACGAATTCGGTGAAGGAGAGACAAATTTTTCCATATATGCTCACACTAGGTGGCCAAACTACAGCATTGCACAGAATGCGATATCCGGAGGACAGGTGCATCATCTAATCTTGTGACGGGCTTATTGACTGACGTATGAGAAGGGAGCTCTACTGCGCAGCCAGTACTTTTACGAGCAATACACTGGGTGCAGCATCAGAACACTGAATTTTTAGCACAACCATGGTTGATCAGTTTCACTAGTTGCTGCTGAAGTGTGGCACCGTTGGAGCAATCCACTTCTGTCCATATAGTCAGGGGCCATAGGATAAAAAATAGCAACATTCGCAAAGTATTTTGCCGACAGGACACACCACTGGTAAAGTTGCTGAAAGGTCTTCGATGGCACACGACCGGTTCCGCTCTACTTGGTGAGACTCATCAAAATGTACTAGAATCACGGAATGCACTCAGTCACAAACTATAGTTTTAACGGAGGACTCAGCTGAATCCTTCGCTTATGGAGTATCAGATACGAGGGATTCAACTAAGTGCTCTGGTTTGCAAATGAATGTATTTTGCTTGTATACACCAGATCTGTTGTACCAAGGACAGCGTACGGCAACAGTCAGATGAACGAGAGGGAGACGTGATGTAACACGTATTATGACATTGCACAAAGCGTTGTACCAATGGTATGCTTAAGGTACAAAGAAAGGGTTAGCGAGTGTCAAGAAGAATGAACTGTAATGAAGTGATGAGCAACTGTCTCGAGGAGCTATTAATAGCTGGGAAGGGAGCAACGCGAATGCTGCATAAATCAGCTGATCGTACAGACTCTAACAAGCAACAAGGATAGACTAACTATCCATTTGGGATCCAGGAGCCGATTTTTGGACACCAAGAGCGAGTAGCATTCGACTAAACCTACCAACTGAATGAGGACTTGGAACAAACTTTGGATCTGAAACAGTTGTTCCGAAGATCCGTTACGTCTGAAGATGACGAGTTCGTAGTTCAAGAGTAAGTACACAACATTTTAGTTAAATAATCGATACTCGGAAACATCAGCACAGAACATTCTAAGGCAAGTTTTCGGTTGCATTCGCTAAGAACTAAATCTACCGTTATATGGGACATGAACATGTAAAAAATGCTCATTTGTCAATTGGAAAATCGAGACAACCCTTGGTGAACCCGAAAGATGTATCTGGGTGTAGGTAGACTGAAAGCACCAGATAGAACAGGACTCAAAGAAACTCAAGAACTTGATCCCCACCAGTATCTTACGAAAACAACTGTGTTCGATACGAGTCATTCGACAGACAAACAGGAAGAGTAAGATGACCAAAAACACCAACCAGACAAGGTAGACGAACGACTTCGACGAGGACAGCGCGAAACAGAACGACTGATAGGCATATATACTACCCTACACAACAAACAACTTAAGTTCTGGTGATGACATACCCTGAGGGAAAGTGGCCGGGAGCTGACCGTTGTTCACGACACCTGGTGGCATAAATAAGGACATTGCCAGAGACAGTTGGTCGATCGATGCCGCTTGTGATGCATTCATGCTGGTGGCTTGTGCGGTTGAATGCGGCATCATAGGACCAGAGGTTCCAGAGCTCGGTGCATCAGTCGCGCTAGGGGAGTACATTGGTATGGATGCATAAGTAGTTGGATTGCCAGCTAAATGGGCTGTCGGTGTCACACAACCACTGGAGGGCGTGGTGACATTATTGACCACTGCGCTGAGGCCTGGCGGTGGCAGCAAACCCAGACCTTTCATGTACAAACCCTGATTGGGCGAAGGATCACCAGCAGCCTGAAGAGGGCGAATAGGTAAACACAAGCTAATTAAGTGTCTGGCTGCGAATATAAAGTAAGGTAGAGTACGAAGAACAAAAAATACATACCGGAAAATGCTGTTGTCCCATGACGCTGGTTTGCTGAAGCTGGTGTTGTTGGGGTGGTATTGATTGCTGTTGTTGCCCCGTCATGTAAGCAAGTGAAGCCGGAGCACCTGGTAAAGCCGAAGTCATGTTTGAAGGTGAAGCAGTGACAGGCTTGGCCTGGCCAAACACAAACATCGATTGGGATGGATACAAGCCACCCAGGTTGGGAGCATTTGTTGACGGCACACCTGACGTCGGTCCTAAGTTTGAATTCCCCAAATTGGTGGCAACAGCGCTGCTTGCTGATGGTTCCGAAGTCAGGTCTGTGTGCGCAGCATGTCCAAATGGCTGTAAATTGTCTACCGAAGAAGCCGTCGGTTGAGGGCTTACACTGACTTGTTGGCAACCAAGGACTTGGAGTCCACCAAAAGATTCTTGCTTGGCGGAGGACTGAGTTGCCGCAGTACTGTCACCGACTGCGGAACCAGCTTCATTAGGCCCGAAGAGATCTCGAGTCTCATTTCGAAAATGACCAATCGAACCATTCGATAAGCTACTACTCCACAAATTGGATCCAGACACGGATGAAGAGAAAACATCAGACGTGGCACCTACCATGATGTCTTCTGAATTGGACTGATAGGGTACAGGGAGTGTGGCACTCACGTTGGACTCTTTCCCTGTGGGAAACAAGCCACGCCAGGTTGCACCACGCTAGTAAGAATAAAAGAAGAAAAATTGAGTGGCTAGCACACAACAGCCAGTAGTGAGGACAGTGACAGCAAGGAATATGCTTACCGGTAGTTCACAAGCAGAATCCCAGTTCCATGACACACTGTCATTGGCACTTCCAGTTGCTGGGTTCAAACTACGACCCGTTCGATTACAAAGTGGCTGGTCTTCAGCATTATCGTCTCCAGCAGCTGAACAATTACCAGAAGTCACATGTAAACCACTATCTGCTTCAACCATAGGGTCGGACAGCCATGCACAGTGCGACCCCGTACTGGTACTTCGAGGTTCCCAAATAGATAAGATGTCTAAAGCAGCCATTGATTGCGGGATGGGCGAACAGCGGTTGATGTCTATGCAGCGTGTTGTGGAACCAGGTGCACTCGGGGATACGGAGAGATTCGAAACAAGATGAGTAACGATCGGTGTTGTATCACCAGTGCTACTGTTACCCCCAGCCAAAGAATGGGCATCACCACTGGCTCCGTTACTATAGGTCCCCAGAGAAGATCCTTCCCCTCCTCCGCCTGCTCCATTGCTTCCTAAGAGACCAAGTCTAGATTCGCCGAAGCATGACAACAGTCCAGAGCTGCAATTGCTTCCAAGACCTGTATCGCTCCCCGGGGTGGTGCTTAAGCGTCTCTCGGCGCCGACAGCCCAAATCTGATTGGCTCGCGCCGAGCCAATCATTGAAAGATTATGGAAGTGGTGAGCCAAATCGCTGGTGTTGGTGCATCCGTCAACTTCAGCCAGATCTTCTTTTGCTGAACCCACACAAGTTGATGTTGAGTTTGTACAAATTGGCGAGAAATCAGAGCCATCATCGTCAGTTAAGCAGAGACCGTCGGGAAGCTGAGGTGTCCCACTATCTCTAAATAGGGGGAGGCTGATATCAGGCTGTTAAGAATGAGGGAGAGCAGGAAACAAAGCGCAATATAAACAACTTACAAAATCAGAAATAAAAAAGTCCACATTACGGCGGACGTAGTAATCAACCCTATATACTTAAAAAAGACAAGCAATCTAAGACGAGCTACATTTGTGGATATCAAAAGATCTCCAAGCCACACTAAGAGTTTGTGCGAACGACTCCTCTAACAAGGAACTATCTCTCTGGTCTGAAAAATGACCCAGTCGCGGAGTTCCGGGGCGCCTGCCGAACTGAGTGCACACACCAACGAGACTATAAATGGCAAGGGAGAGTTATGGTGGTCAATAGCCGATAGTGACATAAATTAAGCACATATAGGCAGATGAAATGTAACAGATGGTGACAAGGCCACAATTTAAGGTTGCTTGGTAAGGTTAGGCGCAGAAGACAAATGAAACTGAGGGCCAGTGTGACAAAGTAAAAGTATCACATACAATCAATACAAAGCAGTGACGTGCTTATTTGTTTGTCTCATTTGGCTAAGGATTTAACATGTTGAACGAATACCCGAATTGATATGCCCGATCAATTCCGAAAGTAAGACGACCGCCTTACGTGGAGTGAAATGACACAAGTCCTGGTCCAGAATCCAAGACAAGCATCATAAACTTTTGTGATATCATTACCACAATATTTCAAGGCAATTTGATCACCGGAAAGGTTTCGGGGTGGTCATGCAGGCATGACGGGGATTCAGTTGCGACTAACATAAAAAGGTGTAGTATGCAAACATCGCGATCGTTGTGATGAATCGTAGCCTATGGCTCAGTGGTTAGAGCCGCGGTTTAAACCCGACCTCTGCCCACCGACTTCGCCTGTCTAGGCTTTGGCAGCCTGGCAGAGTCCAAGCCCTCGTACTCCTTTTGAGTGGAATTGCAGCTAGGCACCGAAAGAGTGCTACAGCAGAACGATTATTATTATTATTGTCCTACACGAGTCAAATGCACTGAACGTTTTCGTACCTGCGCACGATGACCTTTATAGTGGCCCGCGTCTCATGAAATGACTATGAGCATGAAAAACAGAATCCAAGACGGAAAGATAGTACTTACCATAGCAGCGGACCAACGACAAGGGAAGGTGTTGCTGATCGCTTCACAATTCATCGCTGAAGTGGTAGTGGTTATGGTAGAGTCGTTGTTCAGGATCGACAAATGATCATTCAACGAGGCTAAGCTGGAGGTATCGTGAGCGGTGAATCCGGGTGGAGGTGGTGGCATTGTGGCTGTTGCGCCAGGAGCACTTCCACTACTTCCACAAAGGAGACCGACAACGAACTCAGGAGCTACACGAGCGGGAACTTCCTCAGTTGACATATCTGTTTGGGATTGTTTTACCGAATCTGTGATGTTTGCAATCGCGACTATGTACACCGGCCCTGGAGCCAAAGGTCAAGTGGGGCTGAATAATGTAGGTACAGAACAGGAGAAGAGGAACTATGAATTGTCAGAGGAGGATATGGTGCAAAAATACAAAAAAAAACAATAATGGTCCGTCGAATTATCTTAGGGGCTTCAAAATAACACTTGAGAGTTATGGATGTAATAAACCATCCAAATTAGTGCACTGTTGTATATCCGTAGCTGCGGAATACGATACGACTCCAGAATTTCGGAGTCCAAAGAGCTAGGGAAACTGTAAACAGTGCAAATAAATGTTTTTATAAAGTCGATAGACAGAACAATAACCGAAGAACGTGTCCAGGAATCAGTTCAGTACTATAGAGGGCAACCTCACCTGCAGATAACTTGATGACCTGGATGAGATGCATGTATCAATAATTATATAAACAAACAATGTACGCTATTCCATTTTCCAGAGACGAAAATGCTCCCAAACAATCTTCCTAGATGGGTACGCAAAACAAACAAATGGAATGAGTTCCAAAACAAAGGCAAGTTCGTATCGCTATCTCGATTGGCTAGTATTGCATTCTCATCATCGACAGCACATCAGTGTTCAACACTGATGCTTCACTGCCGCACAACCACGATGCATTTGAAAGCCTTATTGTGAAGAAAAGAATAAATGTTGCAGGGTAAGGGACTTGGTACTGATTTACTACAATCATTCCCATGTGCCTACACTTCCAGACGCTCATTCGGGCAAGGTGGGTGGAAACCGACAAACGTAAAAAAAAGCGTTCAGCTGTAACACCCTTCCGGTGCCTAGCTGCCATGCCACCCGAAGGAAGCACGAGGGCTGGGATACTGCCAGGTTGCCCAAGCCTAGACAGGGGAAGTCGAGTGGCGGAGGTCGGATTCGAACCACGGACCTTCCGGTCAGTAAATTCGGGGTCTAACCACTTGGGCTATCTCGCCCGACAAACGAACGTTACTGACTTTGATTGGCAGCTATATCTTGCAGCGACTCCAACCAGACGCAGTGGGGATCTCGTGATCCCCATCCCGGAAGGCGAGTAGCACCGTCAGCACCCAAACTTTTTGTAATCTGTTTCATACCGCTTTGACAACATAGATGTTTCAAATTAGCAAATACGACCCGGGACTTGCAGATTCGTGCACTGACCTCACACTACAGTCGGAACTAATACAACTTCCAAGATGCCTAAAACGCTCCACAACTTCGATTGGATTGTAAGTGGCGTGTTCAGCGATTGCATGTCCAGGAGCACGACCTTACATTTTGTGGGTGCAAAGTACATACTTACGAACGGGGTGACTGGTCAGCTAATCCAAAAACACCTGCGACTTCTCGTTCTCTTCGAACACTAAGAAAGGTGTCGTCTGTATATTCCAGACCGACAAGTTTTTTGCTGAACACCGAGGTTTTGGAGACATTCCAACGTTCGTCGAAGACTGGGATACCGTCAGGCGAAGTCGAGAGGCAGAGGTCGGGTTCGAACCCCGGACCTTCCGGTGAGTAAATTCTAACAACTGAGCCATCTCTCCGTTTCCCAACTCGTCATTTATGGCGACAGAAACGAAATCGTTAAAGCTCAAGGGTACAGGATACACGAATGATTATAGTGCATGGTAGTGAGACATGCTCCAATCAATCCGAAGATCTCAGGTATCTTCCAACTTTTGATCATTGGTGTTTTCGTTACTGGTAAGCAACAAGGAGACGTGCAACGAATTCGAATCACCATGACATAGCAGCATCCATGTTGGCACTGTCCCCACCCAAAGATGTCACCTTGTCGTAGTGGTCGGGCTTCTGTGCTGCGATGATCCTGCGGGCTATATTGGCTAGAACTCAGTTCCTGAAGGTTGAACCATGCTAGGAAGGCCAACCGGGAGCAGCCCGAAGAACAGTGAGTAATCATATTACAAGGAGGTATGGCGGTAAAATCGTCTTGTCCTCTGCGATAGGAGCGTGCAGGCAGTAAGGTGTTTTCCCTAGGCGACCAGCATGTCTATGTTTATGGAAGCAGCGATGCTACCTTCCCCTGAGGAGGGATGGGTTAGAAAAGGTCGGACCCAAAAGCCGCACATTCCGATCGCCAAAAAGTTGACTATGAGGCCGGCGCACCATTCAATACGGTCCAAACGCTTTCGAAACCAAAGAAACCTGTGCTACCCAAAAAGCGCCTGCTGTGCGCAGCCGCATCAAAAGTGAGACAATAACGACCCACTACCTGCGCCCTCGGGCCAGGGCGGCGTCCTACAGTCGAGTAGGTCAGACTACTGGGTTATTTGCTCCGGGAAGGGCCCCCAAAGAAACCCTAACGACCGCTGATTCGCAGCCCAGACTCTTGAATCAGAGGCCAGGGTCTTCGAACAAAACCCTACATCCCCCTACTGCCTTGTGGATCAGACTTTTGAGTCAAAGGCTCAAGGTGAGATACCTCAACTAAACCCACTTCTACGGCTTGGGCAACCGGGAAATATCATTTACCCTCGCAGCTCTTCGCCCACCAGCCTTTCCCCTCAGTCTCTCGTTGAGACTGATGCTACAATGCCAATGCCTAATCAAAGTTCAGGTTTTCGAATCATGATCACCATCAGCTGCAAGAACCGCGAACCTGTCATACAGTGGTTAAAAGTCATAGTTTCGTTCATCGATGATATGGGGAGCTGCACATTGGAGGCGATAGCTGATATAATTGATGCGTAAATACAGGGTTGCCAGTGGACTCTTAATTAGGGAGATTGGGAGCAGCATGCAAAGCCGAGGCAGAATTATTTAGGCTATTTAATATTGTTTGAATTAGATTTGCATCGGATCAAAGAACTGCGTCGTCTGCATGTTCGATATCTATGAGTGGACGCCCCGGAGACACTTCGATCCCACAGACATTAGTCATCCTGCCCCGCCTGACACCATATAATGCGCCCAACTCAGGCGAGAGTTTACCGTAGGCTTTCACACGCCCACGGAAGTTGGCGTACGGCACCTTAAGTAGGGTCAAGAATTTACTGGTGACGCCTTTGCTTCACATTGCCATAGTGCCTGACGGTCCACAGAATCAAAGGCAGCTTTAAGGTCAAGCAGGACAACCATCGTTAGCTACTGGAAGCAGTGTCACTGTTCCAGAATCTGTTAGAGGGTGAAAGTATGGTCGATGCATATTCTTGCAGGACGGAACCCAGATTAGTTTTCACGGATTTGTATCACAGTGTTCAGTCAACCTTCGAACGATAAGACCGGAGAGTAACTTAGATGCCACGGTATTTCTCACGCAGCGTCCGCGAACCCCTTTTGAAGACACGAATAACTGTCGACACGCCATATCCTGCAAGCACTTTCTCTTCACTGCATACCACGCCAACATGGTGTGATCGGAATCAAGTTGGGTGCCCCAGAAGAAGCGACGCTTGAATTGAGGTTCTCCACCAGTGGCTGATTGCCACGAGATCCAACTGGGTTCACGGTTGATTTGCCGGGTTACGCGATGCGAATGTTCATGCTGAAAGTTCGTACTGGTCAGAAACAGCTTAAAATTCGTGCACAACTGGAGGATTCGCTCTCCGCTGTCTGTATGATGAGCATCGACCGCCCAAATGTGATCCCAAGGAGCTTAGATAACCTACTTGAGTATTCAAATCGCCTGTAAGGATCACATTGTCAGTGCATTTTGCTTGACGAATGAGCTCGGATAACTCTTGATAGAAAATATCCTTCTCAGCGTCAGAACAGCGGACCGTTGAGACATAAGCAGACATTACAAACGGGTACCACTTTTTATTTCGGTGGGCAATGGTCTGGATAACCGGACGACGCAAAGATGACTGTGCAGTGGGATCCAATCCAGCGAAGTGCGCTCAGCACTGAGGTTGAGTGCAACCTCCACGCCATATATTTCACAGTTAATCGCTTCTGGATCACCGGACACACAAAGGGAGAAGTGTGAAAGAGCTGAGTTCGCTCCTGGAGCTCTGAGAGGCATAACCAAGCTTGGGTCTAGTATGGCTGTTCCGGAGACACAGAATACATTAATTTCAAGAAGGTACAAAGTTTCAGCGAGCAGCGCCTGGTTGCCAATTTGCATGAAGTACGGACGTTAGAAGCTCCTATGTAGAAAGGATCCTGTGGATCTAGAAAGGTGTTATTTTGCTTACTGTCGATAGACAGCGGCGAGTATAGGGCCCATTTGATGGATAACTGACATTCAAATGACCCAGCAACGTTTGTGTGGTGGGGGGAGGTTGAAGGACATCGGTGGACACAGAACTGTGAGGGCAATTGATACTCCCCGATCGCACAGTCCGAGGAAGGGGATTTGTTCGAAGCACCTTATCAGGAGCGTTTGACGTAGGGTTTTGTTCGAGGACCTGGCCCCAGTCTCTGACTCAAAAGTCTGAACTGCGAGGCAGCCGGCAGGAGTTTTACGGTGTCCCTTCCCGGAGCCGACGACTGAATATTCTGACATGCTCAGCTCACGAGGTTCGCCTAACCCGAGGGTGAAGAAAGTAAGACATCGCTGCGTCGCTCCTGAGGCGGCGACGTACAAGTGCCTAGCTTTGGTTTTAAAAGTAATTCGACCAAATTGAATAATGCGCCGGCAGTCACGATCAGCCGCTGAACTATCGGAGTGTGCGCATGTTAGCGCCGGCCTTTTTCAACCAGTCCTTCCTCAGGGGAAGGCGGCATTGCTAGTTCCGTGAATATGGACACGCTCCGTCACGAAGAGACTGGACCTTACCGTGGTGTGGGGGTTTGTGTACCTCGGACACCCACTGAGCTATACTGGGGAGTGTCCGCGCGACACTCACAGAGTCTCTCATACCAGGTTGGTCAATGGTTAGAGGTCCGACGAACACAGTCTCCTGGCCCTCCAGGTTGCCACATCGGCAGTCGCGTGGTGCCATCAGCCGGGTCGCCTTACTTGCTGCATACAGCAGGGCGGGTAGGCGAAAACATGCTACTGCTGACGCCTCCCTTCTTACACTTTAACGTTTACCGTCTTCCACCCTCCCCCGCCCAAATTTGAATACTTCATCCGC